TCTACCAAGGTATCCCAAATCTGTTTTGCCGATTGACACTGTGATATGCGAAATAATTCATCCATACTGAGAGCGCTTTGAAGTATGTTGATTGCTTTCTTCTCATTCAAGATTCTCTTTTTGTCATCTTCATCATATGAGGATTTTATCTTTGGAGTTCCAACACCATTTACCACACTTGTAGGAACATGTGGACCAGTTTCTACGGTTTCCCATATACCATCTCCTTGAGCCTCAAGATGTGCCTTCATACAAATTTTCCAAAAGTCGAAGTATTCTCCAGAAAAGAGTGGTGGCTTGTTACTACTTCCACCATCTTTGAAAACCGGGTTAGTACTAGCGGAAGCCATTAAGATCGATAGGAATAGGTTACCTTAACCTGCTCTGATACCAATTGTAAGTACAGAGTATGCCTAAAAGGGGGGGGGGGGGGGTTGAATTAGGACTTTAGAACTTTTTCCGGTTTTTATGGTTTCTTGAAATTTTACTGGTTTGTGTTCTTGGTTATGAAAGCAGTAGAAAGTAAAAGAACAATGGACACCAGGATTTATAGTGGTTCCTCTCACAATCCGAGAGTACTCCACTCCCCTTTCAACATGAAAGAGAGTTTTCACTATTGTTTAATAAAGTACAACCTATCACACCATCAACTGGTGATGCCTACTATCAAACAATAAAACTAACAAGTGTACAAGAACAATCCTCTTGTAAACACTCACCCTTGTGTCCAACAATCCTGGATCACAAGTCAGAATACAAATACTTGTAATGATTTTGTTTTGAGAATAATAATATCAATCAAACTTGATCTTCTCCAAAATGATCAAAATTCACTCTTATAATTTTCAACACAAGTGTTCAACAGATGAATATGAAATTTTTTATGCAATTATGAACACTTTGAAAGGATTTTGAAAATAGTGAATTTGATTCTAAGAATATTTGAAAATGAATGTTGGAGGGTTTTTTTGGAGGTGTTTTTCAAAATTGAAAAACTCATAATTTATATGTGTAAACACACCTTTTCCAACAGGTATATTTGAGTATAATTCAAAATATGAACTGGTATAATTTTCAAACCATTTTTGAACTTGAAACAAAGCCATTTTTCAAAATACGTTCAGTGTTAATCGGTTAACCTATATGGTTAATCGGTTAACACTGGAACGTTATACCAGAATATTCAAAATTTGAAATGGTTAACCGGTTAACCTATATGGTTAATCGGTTAACACTGCTATTTTTCAGAAAAATACTTATAAAAAATAGTGTTATACCAATTTTAATAGTTTAAAAAATATGCTAATGCAATGTGATCAAATGATAAAGATGTTGAACACTTGTATATCAATTAAATTAATGAATTTTGATATACCATTGCTTGTGTCCAAAACTTGAAAGTTGATCAGTCAAATGTTCATGAAGCTTTGAATGTTGATCACTTCCATTCCACTTGATCTTGGTCTTTTGAAAGCTTTTGCCTTTTTGCACAGATGAATTATTCTTGATCTTGATGTTGACGTCATCAAAACTTTGAGATGAAGCTTACATGTTATTGCTTTCATCCAAGTCCAAGCTTCAATTAGAGAATTCTAGTCAAATAATGGGTGCAGTTTGGATTGAGAGTCATCTGGTTTGACCTAATCTTGGTCAAGCAAGATTTTGATCCATGATAAAAGTTAGAGTGTGCATTAATTTAGGTGGTGTGTCTGAGGCGTCAATTAGGGTTTTTGTGCCAATTTAGAACAACTATATATGGACCAAGTTATCATAATTATGCTGAAAGCATGGGTTTTGTGGTTAAAAATCATCAAAGATCAAAATCACTTCCAAATTGGAGCTCTTGTAGTAGTTCAAGTCATCTGATAAGTCAATTTGTAGAATAGTCAAGGCATTTATTTTCATATTTCAAGATATTGCAAATCATGCCTATGTTTGCCCATAAGTCAATATAGAATTACTTACTCAAAGTCAAGGTTCAATGTTAATTCACATTTAGTCTCACTTCGCAGTTTCGATTCGGTGCAAGGTTGATTTTAATTTTTTAGGGAGCATTCGCAGATGATGAAAATTAGTACCAAGTGGTTTTAATTTAGTTCAAGCATGATATGGAAAATTCCAATTAAAATCCAAATTTACAAAAGTTCTAACAAATAGAAGTTACAAAAGTTCTAACAAGTAGAAGTTCATGAAGTTTTACACAAAAGAAAAAGTACATAACTTTCAATATTCTACAAAGCCCATTTCACATCAAAAAGAAAACCCAAGTCCAATCTCTACACAAGAAAAACTATTAAGCCATTCTTTTTTTTATAGAAACTACGTCAGAAAATCCTTCACCAAACCTTCAGCCATATGAGGTTATACGTACACTACAAGCCAAAAAGTTTCTACATCTAAGCTGCGATATCCGCATGCCATGGCAAAAATAATAAAGCGCAGGATCTCCAAACACCTGCAGGATTCGCTTCACCATGTTAACCAGGTCCTACCACAATGAAGCCTAGTTTTCACACTTTATGTGCATTGCCCATATCCACTCACAGCCATGCTGCGTACGATCTCTATGACACCTTAAGACCCCCAATTGCAGCAGAACAAAACCTCAAATTGCTGCAATGATATAGGCCATGAAACCACATCCAATACACCATACGCTAAAACACTACATCCTTTGCTACCCAATAAACTGTACGAAAAATGAAAATCCGCAAGACTTGACCACTGCAAAATCAACAAAAAACTCACGCGGCGAGAAAACCGCGAAAACAACAAAACCTGTACAATAAATCTTTCCTCATTCTTCCACTTCTACCCTTAATTCCAACTCTATAAAATCAATCCTTTCCTCATTCATTGACAAAAAGCTCGGAGAAGCCATTGTTATGCTGTAAGAATACCATCACAAATCCTCCTTTCATTAACCCAAATCAAATCATTCAACCAAACTCACACCAAAACATTCACAAATGTCTTCAACCATAATAAAATCCCTAAATCATAAACAAAAACAACCAAAAAACCCAAAATCATTTCTGACCTAGACTAAAAGAAGATAAAGGAGTAAAATGATCTGAAACAAAATCATAAACACTTGAATCAAAGACTTCTAAAGTGAAATTGAAACCCTAAATTAAAGATGAAACGGGAGGGAATCTTCATTCGTGAGAAGGTCGAAACGAGTTGTGCGCAGTATCGTTGTTTTTGGTTCTCTATTTTTATTTTCAATTTGATACTCTTTCACTGCGTATCACGTTCTCCGAACATGACTTGATTTGCTGTTTTTTGTTTGTTTAAAAGAACGATTCCCATGGTGACCTAACGTTACTTTCCTTTGAATTTAGTTTTGTCTCTTTTGCACATTGAAAAACCAATTGTTTTCCACTTATACTTCATTTGTGCTTAAGGACTGGTTGTTCTGGACAACCGAGTTATGAAGATTTTACCCCATACCCCTGCATTTATACCCATACCTCTACAATTTTTAAAAAAATACCAATTTTATCCCTATATATTTTTTTATTATATTATTTTTTTATACTTTTTACAGTGACATATTTTTTTAGTCTTCCGAGGAATTCAATACACGAGTTTACCGGAACACTTTCAAAATGACTTCCGGTATACTTTTTTTCTCAAACCGGAAGACTTATGCAAAGAGTTCCGGTTTACATAAATTATGTATCAGAAGACTTTATGAAAGACTTTCGGTTTACGTTTTTTCGTGGATGTTCACCGGAACACTTTTCGTAAGAGTTCCGGTACTTGTAAAAAGTGTACCGGAACACTTTTTATAAGTCTTCCAGTTTGCATATTTTGGCTACCGGAACTCTTTTCATGAGTCTTCTGGTTTGCATTGTCCATTTTTTAAAAAATTATTATTATTTGGAATATGAAATAAAGTTACGGTTATCATCACTCATTCAGATATTGAAACAGGTAAGAGAGGAAGAAGTAACAAATTAATATTTGGATGTGTTAAAGGAGGAAAACACAAAGATATTGATAGTGGAACCCAGAGTGCGACGAAAAAATGTGGATGTCCATTTAGAATCAGATCAATTCCAGCGACTGATGGATCTGGATGGAAGATTGATGTAAAATGTGGAGTTCATAACCATGATTTACCAGATAGATTAGAAGATCACGCATTTGTTGGTAGGTTGACAGCGGATCAGAAGCAACATGTTATTGATTTGACAAAGAGAAAGGTTCCACCTAGACATATTTTGCTTTCATTGCAAGAGCAAGATCCAAATAATGTCACTCGGATCACGCAAATATACAAGCAAAAGAGTATGATAGAAAAAAATATAAGAGGTCCTAGAAGTGAGATACAACATTTATTTAAGCTTATTGAGGAAGCAGGTTATGTTTATTGGAGTAGAAAAAGAGATGACTCTGAAGTTATTAGAGATATCTTTTGGGCTCATCCAGATTCAGTTAAGTTGTTGAATATTTTTCCTATTGTGCTAGTTATTGACAACACTTACAAGACAAACAAATATAGGCAACCTCTGTTTGAAATTGTTGGCATGACATCAACCGAGTTGACTTTTGCTGTCGCATTTGCCTATATTGAGTCTGAGCAGACTGAGACTTTTTGTTGGGTGCTAGATAAGCTTAAACAATTGTTTGTGAAGAAAGAGTTGTGTCCATAAGTGATTTTGACAGATAGAGATCTTGATTTGATGAAAGTCATTTAAATTGTGTTTCCAAGGTCGATCAATATGTTATGTCGATTTCATATTAACAAGAATGTTGGTGCAAAACGGAAACAATATGTGGCTAGTGACATGCAAAAGTAAATTGACGAATTATGGACGATTGTTGTATGGGCTAGTGATGAGGTTGAGTATGATCAAAGGTTGAACCAACTTGAGCAGGCATGTGTTGATTGTAATGAATTTATTGATTATGTGAAGGACACATGGTTGACGCCACATAGACAAATATTTGTTGGAGCATGGATTAATCGAGTGCTACATTTGGGTAACACCATGACTAATCGGTATGTATTTGTTTTTAGTATTTCTAAATTGTATATTTCTTTTGAATTTTTTTGAAATATTTTTAATGTTTATTAATTTTAGGGTTGAGTCTGCTCATTGGAAGTTAAAGCAAATGTTAGGGAACAATATTGGTGACATGGTCAAATGTTGGGAGGCTATGAATGACAACTTAAAGTTTCAATTGGGTAATATTATAGCTTCTTTTCAAAAGAGTTTTTATGAAGTTGAGCACGCCCACGTAAGTCCATTTTACAATAATTTACGTGGTTCAGTGTCTCGAGATGCATTGAGACGCATTGCTGAAGAGTTAAAACGAGTTGATTATGTTGGAACTAACAAGGAAATATGTCGTTGTACTCTTAAAACAACCTACAGATTACCTTGTGCTTGTGAGTTGATAGGATATAAAATTGATGGTACACCGATACCAATAGATGTTGTGCATGTTCATTGGAGAAAACTAAGTATGGAAGTTAAGTTGGACGAAGACGTAGATGATGGATCAGAGGTGGATATGAGTAGTGCAATAGATGAGTTGTGGAAAAGGTTTAAGTCACTGGATGTTGTTGGAAAAGGGCATTAAAAAGTAGGATTTTTGAACTTGCCTTCCCCACAATGACTTCTATGTGTCCACCACCTAAGAAAATAAAAACTAAAGGGGAGTAAAGAAGAAAGACAAAAAACCAGTAGGATATGATGTTTATAGAGACCCTTCGTATCACGAGTATGTTGATCAAGCATCTCAATCTTCACAGATGCAATCTCAACCATCACAAACTTCGAAGAAGTTGAAATTATCACAGTCTTCACAAAAGAAAACTCAAACATCACAAGCTTCGAAGAAGTTGAAATTATCACAATCTTCACAGTCATCTAAGCAGTTCATCATTCAGTTTCCTAATCACATTCGGTCATATATTGATGATGTAGTCAATGTTGTATCAGATGGTAATTGTGGATTTAGAGTCATTGCTTCATTACATGGATTTGGTGAAGATGGTTGGCCAATGGTTCGTCGAGACTTGGGGTTGGAAATAATACATAATGAAAGATCAAGTTTGTATGCCAATTTATTTACTGATCAGTTAGCTGTGGTGAGAGAATCTTTGATGATAGAGGAAGTTGGTCCTCAACCACCACATAAATGGTTAACTCTACCAGATATGGGTTACGTGATAGCGAATCGTTATAATGTTGTACTTGTCTGTTTAGGAATTGAATGCTGGACTTTCTTCCCTATGACAACTTCATTTTCACCGAATGTAGCAATTTACTGCATTGGTTTTGTAAACAAAAATCATTGGGTTCAGGTACTTAGTTATTTTTAGATAATGCGATTAACCCTAAGTCTTTTTCGTTACTTTTACTTACTATTTTGATTATTTTTTTATTTAGGTAAACATGAAAGAAGGGTTTCCATTGCCACCAGTGACAGTTGATTGGAAGAAGTTTCGTTCTCCAGCAGCAGCATCTTGGATGCTAGGATTTGTAGGACGTCTACAACATTGGCAACAACTTACACCTATATTACCCACGCATTATAAATTATAAATTATGTTACTCATTTTTAATTTCAAAACATGAATAATGAATTATGTTACTCATTTTTAATTTCAAAACATGAATCGTGAATTATGTTATTCTTTTTTAATTTCAAAACATGAATCGTGAATTATGTTATTTATTTTTTAATTTGTAAACATAAACCAACTAAGTCAAATGAGTCTAAAAGTTAACACATAAACATAAAACAATTAGGTCAAATGAGTCTAAAAGTTAACATATAATCATAAATATAAATATAAGTCACTGTGATCAAGCAATATGTAAAGCTTCGAACAAATCCACAAATTGTGGGTCATCATCTTCAGCACCAGCCTGCTGAAGATAACGATGAATCAACGAAGACACACGAGCCGATCTAGGATCAGATGGTCCTGCTTCATATACAGGAACTGGCATCTCTGTTGGCGCATCATGATAGGGTGGTGGTAACAGACGAGGATGCGAGACACGATAATACCACTCAAGATATCCATCATCTGTCTCATATGGGGTGGTGACCGGTGTTGTCGGACGAATCACATTCTGAACGCTTTGATGGTAACTAATCCAGTCAACATCAATATCACCAATCATCGTATGATCAAGAGGTGGATATGGAACATACTGCCTGTATCCAAACTGACGCATACATCTGTCAGGCAAGTATGGAACAACAGTGTCACCCCACCTCATACACCCCTTATATAGACATAGCTCATCAAACTGACGCCATACTCTATGATTCTCGAATGGGTGCCATATGACATCGGCAGGTGTCAGCTCGTCTAGAATAGGTCGCAAGTCATCCACCTTCAAGGCACCTTGCCTATAGGACCATCTCATCGCTCGGGGGGGACCCAAATTACTAGCTGGTATCCAGTTCTCTCCTTTTTTTCCAAGCGTTGGAAAATACTCATGAATCTAGCACTGTTATAAAATTAATATGGTTATTAAATTTAAAATAATTAATTATAACATAATAAACTAGATAAATAAAATTAATATACTAGATAAAATTTATTAAAACAAAATGTACTAAATTAAAATAAATACCTGTAGGAGAGTCAGATAACCACCAAGCTGCTTACAGCTGAACATGGAAGCATCTCCGAGATATCTATAAAGAGCAACCAACGCAGCTGCTCCCCAAATTTATCCTGATAAGCCATCCAAGTCTATAAACAGTGAGAGGTATCGTGCCTCGACAAGCGTAAATGTCTTGTTCGCAAAAATAGTGGAACCCACTAACATCATCAAATAAGCTCTAGTGGCATAATCCCATCTGGATGCAGCTCTATGCTCTATGAACCGATCATATAACCACTCCAGCTTATAGTAGGAACCCCTGCAGTCACAGACTTGTTGTTGTGCTACTCTCCGTGACACTCCTAAATAATTAACAACCCACTCAATAGCAAGCGCTTCACTGATATCTTGAGGGCTCACTCCCCTGATGGGCAAGTGAAGCAGGCAAGATACGTCATCTAGAGTAATCATCATCTCACTAAACGACATGTGAAATGAAGATGTCTCTAGATGCCATCTCTCTGCAAATGCAGAAACTAGGTTCGTGTCTATCTTTGTTAAACTCGTTCTCTGGAGTGAAGCTAGACCAGACCTAGATATCCAGCCCTTCATCTCTCTGGATAGCTGTAGTGGAGCCCTCTGAATCAACTTCAATCCATGTCCCGCTACCTTTAACTCTTTCTTCGACCCTTTCTCCTGAAAACAATTAAAAGTAAATATATTATAACATTCAATATTAAAAATTCGAATTCTATTCAATATTAAATAATTTTTGTTTACTTACCTCACCGAACCATATATGTCTAGCAACATGATGTTCGTACTTAACTAACAGAGATGTATCATACGGTCCTCCTGGATATCCAACCGACTCGGATGCTGATGCAGATGCATCAAAATGCTCTTCTTCAGCCATTCTCGATGACTCGCCCCATCCTAGTCCACGAGGGATCCTACCATCTCTGCCTCGTGTGCGCACCACTGACAAAAAAAAATAATTAAAATTTAAAAATAAAAAAAAGAAAATCATGAACCGGAAGTCTTGAGCAAAGACTTCCGATGAACAAAACGTAAAACGTGTGTTTTGGAAGACTTAATCCAAGACTTCCGGTGTACAAAAGCAAAAAATTATGAACCGGAAGACTTGCATTAAGTCTTCCGGTGAAGAAACAAAAAAAACTACAAACCGGAAGACATACATTAAGTCTTCTAGTGAACAAACCAAAAAATAACAAACTGGAAGACTTACTCTTGGAGTTCCGGTGTGTGTTGACCAAAAAATGTGTTCCGGATGACTTGTTGGAAGAGTTCCGGTTTGTAGTAGGAAAAAGAGAGCTCCGGAAGTGTTGAAATCCAAATGAAGTGAAAGTGAACATTTTTTCAAATTATAAGTATTTAAACAAGGGTATTTTGGTCCAATATTTTTTAGTGTAGGGGTGTGGGTATAAGTGTAGGGGTATGGGGTAAACTTTCCCCGAGTTATGCCTTGAGGGCATATTGTTTTTTTTCTTTTTTTATAGTGGATGATGGGCCTTAAAAGGCCCAAATGAATCCACACTATCACAAGATTCATACATCCCAAATTCAATTTTGACCTCTTTTTATTATGTTTTTTTAATATGTTTTTTTAAGCATTTTAATAAAAAGTTTTTAAAATCCGATTAATTCTTTTTTTTTTTGCATAAATATTTCAAAGTTTTAGTGATTTCCTTTTATTTATTTTATTTTGGTTTTATTATGGGTCGATGACGAGACCCCCATAAGTTGTTATCAGTCAAATTATTGATAAATAAAAATTTATCCGAGACCTGCTTTTTCACTTCCCATTTTCTTTTTCATTTTCGACTTTATTCCATTTTTCGAATCGATGAATCTCTGATTCACAAACGTTACTTTTCGAGGTTGTTAAAACCTTCATTATTTCAAATTTATAAAAAATGATCATTCAGATCATTTTTTTATACTTTGGGATCGTGAGAGGTTCCTTTTGATTAATTAACATAAGATTTGCGATTAAGACGAGATTTAAACTTATTTTCAATTTCATTTCGATTTTTATTTTATTGGTCAGTGAAGTCTATACATTCGTAAATGTCAATGAATCGAAGTCGCTAATCGTCATTATTTCAAATCTATAAAAAATGATCATTGAAATCATTTTTTTTATACTTTGGTATCGTGAGAGGTTCCTTTTGATTAATTAACATAAGGTTTGCGATTAAGACGAGATTTAACCTTATTTTCAGGTTCATTTCGATTTTTATTTTATCGGTCAGTAAAGTCTATACATTCGTAAATGTCAACTAATCGAAGTCGCTAATCGTCATTATTTCAAATCTATAAAAAATGATCATTCAGATCATTTTTCTATACTTTGGGATCGTGAGAGATTATCTTCGATTAATCGACACGCGTTTATGATTAAGATGAGATCCCACTCCTTTTGCCCCATTTCACTAATTATTAACCTCTGGCTTTAATTTTTGTTCAATATAATTGTTTTACACTTCTCTTAATATATCACTGTTTATATATTCTTGCACATATTTTCCATTTATATTATCGTTGACATTATCTTGTTTATTTATCTCGCTCATCTTATCATCATTGTTCATATTTCATCCTGTCATCTAACATTTCTCTTGTTTAATTAATTCAAAATACCAAAAACACGATAAAATTATTAAAACCCTAAAAATCCTAAATTGGTGGACTGTTGACCATTATCTTAGATGTTGGAGTTTAGGCTTTGTACATAAACCCTAGTTTGATTGTTTTTTGTCTGAATTCTTATTTCCTTGCTTAGTTTAGGACACCTCGCACACACACACGACTTTCTCCTAGGCTACCTGACAATGAGACCATTTATTTCTCCCAATCCCCTGTACTTTATATCTACCCCTCTCCCGTTACAGTGTAATAGTTTAGTTCTTTTCATGCTTGCTTGCTGCGTGTTTAGAAAGATAAAAATGAATTAGGCTAGAACATGTTTTCATAATAAAGAACAAATGA